TGATGAAGCTGCCAAGCAGCCCTGGAGCCTGCAGCAAAGCCCATCAAACAGACATGATTTTGCTCAGGCTTCCCCAACCCTGCTGTGTGCAGCATGTTTCAGTCCTCTGAGCCTACTGCCCCACTTACTCCTCCCAGCCAGGGGAGCCATGGTGGTCACAGACCTGCATACCCAGGGGACCCCAAGCCCAGGAAGGTAGGCTCTCTGTCTGAAGCCATCAGGAAGCAACATGCAGCCTCTTGCCATTTAATGTGGCTTTTTGTATATAAAAGGCTACCAGACTGGCAGGTCAAATGCCCTACAGATTAGAGATGCCAGGTGTTTTCCCTGCACCTGGGCAGAAGGATACAGCCTCTGGCTAAGTGTCTTTCGATGGTGCTTTTCCCAGACTCTCATCTCACTCCAGGTTCAGGATGGACAGCAAGTGAAAGGAAGCAGGAGGAGAAGGTAACTAATTTTTGTGTGTGTGTGTGTGTGTGTGGTTTTGGGATGGGACTGGGAATGCAAAATGGATTGGGCTTCATGGGCTTGGTGGTGCCCCAACTTCCCATAATATTTCAGGGCAAAACCCCTGTTTTTAGAAAGACCAGTTACACAAGTGTTCTTCATTCTGCTTTAATTTGCAACCTTAGTAATCTTCAGGTAAGTTTTTCCCTGCAGAATATATGTACATATGTTAAGCAAGATTGCTTTCAAGACATTTGATTGATCAGATGCAAAATAGCTGTCTCTAAGCCCTATCTTTTTCCAAGGCCAGAGAGTTAAGGGATCAGCAAATGGCTGTAGGTTTTTAATAATTAATTCATTAACCCTGAGTTTAAGAGACACACTAAAAACAAGGTCTGCACATGAGGGTTCAATAACAAGGGTTTAAAAACACTTAGGGGGGAATGTCAGCCAGCAGGACAGAGCAGCGTATGTCCACACCACCCCACACTACCTGGCCTTCCATCCTTTCTGCTGCTGGAGAAAGTGCTCCTGTGAAGGGTAATTGAAATGAGCTCTCTCTTTCCATTAATTACACAGAGAGAGTCTGGCTTTAACCTCAGTCTGTTTTTTGAACAGTCTCCACAGAGCTGTGCAGTATGTGGCTCTACTATGTCGGCTATATGAAGCCTCCCCACCATTCACCTCATGCACATGCAATAGAGACACACTTTTTCTATAGAAGCAAACAGCCACTCTCATTGTATGTGATGTTAGGCTAACACCATGCAATGCTGCTGACAAAACAGAGCATCACCGGCTTTGAAAATGTGCATTACCAGCATCACGGTCTTTGGCTTTCTTTAATGCCTGCCACAAGCAAGCATTTGGCTTTGCTTCTCTGTAAAATGCTGAATGAGGGAGGAAAGCTAGGATTTGACCTCTGAAGCCCACAATGCACAGTTATGCACCCACAGCATACAACTGAGCCTTGTCTCGCATTGAAATAAACACAGTCAAAGTTGTCCTTATATTTCTTTTCTCTAATCACTTTCTCAGTCATTGCCTTGCTCTTCATTTTCTAGGGTAAATAACTCCATTGTTCCTCTAATGTATGCCTAGCACAGCAATCTCATAGGATCTGCTCCCACCTGTATTAACACCCCCACGCCACCAGGCCGTCGTATAGGAAATGAAACAAGGCAAGTGTGTTGGCTAGTGTCAATGCTAAGGAGATTCTTGAAGAGCAAATACGCAAAAATGAACCAATCTGGGAAAAACAGGTCGAGTGGCCAGAGGTCAGAGGAGGAAAGAAATTTTGAACCTGAAGTCTGTGCACACTTGGGTTCAAAGCAATATGGCAGGAGAGCCCGCATCACTGGAGTGCTGTGGGAAGGCAAGGAGGAGGCAACGCAGTAGGCAAAGGATGGGCCTGACTGCACAGCACTCTGCTGTGGGACAGGGGATGCAGCTGTCAAGGGCTTGTGGGTAACAGTCAGGGGATGGACCAACACGAGGGGTGGTGTGGGGGCATCTGCGGCGGATCAGCTCACCAAGAGGTGAAGCAACTCTTAGCCAGTTGGAGGAAGCCTCATGATGGCAGGACCAGGTATTCCCAGGGGACTTTTCCAACCAGCAATAGCTTCTGGAAGGGCCCCTGGCACAAAACATCCACTGGGGGTGGAGCCAATTGGGCAGCATCCCCATTGGGGTGGAGGGGATGCTGCACCACAGGCAGGGTGCACAGGGCAGGCGTGGTGATGGAGGGCAGGGTCAGCCACAGCCCAGTGATCATCCAGCAGGTCCACAGGAACAAATCAGGTCAAGATCAAGACAGAAGTCCAGCATGTTGGTCAGGGTCAGTACTGTGGCCAGGCACAGGCGTGGCACAGCACAGCCGATACAGGGACTTGGGACCTCAAAAGCAGCTCTGGCATGACAGGGGAGGCCCCAGGCGAGGCTTCTTCCAGCTCCTTCTCATGTTCACCTTAGCCACTTCCCTGCAGCCTGATCCTGGGTATCACTGCACTGGGTCAGAGCTGGCCTTGAGCACAGGCAGCCAGACCCCAAGGAGGACAGGGAGGAGGCTCAGGCCTCTGACACAGCAAAAGTGAAGTGGAGAAATGTGAGCAAATGTTTGCAGTGAAAAAACAACCCCCTTGTGTTTTGTTTCCCAACACAACTACATGCCATAGAGGACGGGAGGCACGAGGGCGTAGGTACGTCAGGGGGAGCTGGTGGAGGCAGAAGCTGGAAGTAGAGAGGCCCAGCGAGTTTAACAGGAAGAGTAAAAGCAATCCCTGCTCCCATTTGCCCATGCCCCAGTCCTGATTTTCCTTGGGGAGATGGAGAAAGAGGACCATGTTGAAGGCTGACCTCCAGGGTTGTCTTTCCCCAGGCTCTCCCAGCCCTGCCAGGACTGCTCCAGATTCCCAGACACTCCAAGCTGACCACAGGCAATTTCTGAAGGGCGTTCTGGTCTTGAGGTTTTGTATTTCAGATGCAAATGCCACTGCAGGCTTAGAGGCCACTAACATGTATGAATCCTGGGGGGGAGCTGATGGACAGGGGTTCAGGGGAGTAAGTGCAAGCCCAGTAGGAACTGTCTTTGTGTCTTATATCCTGCAACACAGAAAATCAGGACAGCGTACTACCACTACGCAAGAGGCTGGGAAGCATGCACTCATTCATCCAGAATCAGCTCTTGTTACTGGAAATGCAGAGTTTTTCTCAACTGTTTTGCTATTGCCTTTCTAAGGCAAAAAGAAAATGAAAAAGAAAGGTCTGTGTTATGCAGGATATACATAAGCCTGCCAAACAAATTGGATTCCTCTGTTGGCTAGAATTACAAACCTGTACATGACAGGAAGGCTAGCAAATCAGCTAAAAAAAAAAGAGAGACTGGTCAGCTGCTTCTGCTTATTCTGTCTCAGAGCAGTAGGGGGAGAAAAGAGATCAACTTAAAAGTCACAATGGTCAGTCTCTCTCATACTTGATTAGCCTGCACAGATCGTTGCCATAAGTCTCCCAGGGCGATGTTCACTAAGACTTCCCTCCACCCAGCACAGGCAAAAGGGCTCTAGAGGGTGACTAAAGACCAAGAGGCCAAATTTAGGTTGCTCTGAACTAGCCTGTGGGAGCCAAGAGCTTAATATTTATCCTCTAGAAAGGATGCATTGTGAGAGGATGTTGTGAGGCTGAGTGACAATTATCTTCTACCACAGAACACCTTCAGCCAACTGCTCTAGGACTCGTCTTTCTACTGTGTATAGCAGTGGATGCAGATGTTACTTCTTCTGACACACCTGCTGCTGACCACTTGAAATGTCAGAATGTGGGTTGTAAACCAGTTACTTCCGTCTTCCTTTCCCTCCCACTCCACCAGAGTAAAATGGGGGATAATAATGCACCATAAACTCTTTGAGATAAATATGCCTCATATCTTTGGATAATATGTATCTACCAAATTGCTCAGGAAGCTCAGGATTTGACACATTCCAGCACAGAAACAAAGAAAAAAATCTTCAGTTGTGCAGCTCCTGAGGTCTTTAAACAACATAGCTTGAGATTTTTGGCAAAGGAGACAGCAGAACACCACAAAAAAAGAGTTAGCCCTTCATGCTGCAGATATTCTGTGCTATCCTGGGAGGAGAAACAGAGATTCATGGCAATGGGTGGGGATTCAGCAGTTCCCTTTGTGAATGTTGTGCCTATTGAAGACTTTTCAGCACCGATGGACTCTCAGTTTTATCCCTGCCCTTTCAAGCGCATAATTCCATGTTTCTGTGTGATACAAATACTAGCCCATCATCAGAAAGGCAAGAGGGTAAGTCAGATTGAGGCCAGCCCTATTTCTGGGGAGTAGAGATATTCATGTGCTCTGCTTATTTTTAGCAGAAGATGGTGGATAAATCTGAGCCAGCATGTTTTTCATTCAATCTGTCCCTGGACACTAACAGATGGTGCTTCCTTGTGCCAAGCACTAATGCACTTTACATTGGCACTCACTGTCAGGACACAAAGCCCGCCAAGTCCCTGCTAAATCTGCTGATGCTAGGAAAATTGATAATAAACAGCTAGCCAGGGACACAGTCCCTAGTTTTTCCTCTACCTCCAAAGCAGCACAGAATCTGTAGCAGTGCAATGGTGTCAGCTGCTCTCCAGCTCGTGGCTATCAATGCAGCAAAAGAGGCTCCTGGACTGGGGAAAAAGCGGTCCTGAAGCCATGAATGCAGGTATGTATCTAAAGATGGAGGGAAATCCACCTGCTTCATGGGAACTCGCTGTGTGCTTAAAACTGGGCATTGAGAACCTTGACAAATTGTGTCTTAATGCTCAAACATCTGAACTAATGATAATTAATACAAATATAAATCAATATAAATATAAATCAGTATAAATATGAATCATTCTAATACATATCACCTGGCAGGGTAATTCTACTGTTTAGCACTCCTTAGTACCCCTTGAGCACTGAATATATTAAAATGCAGTCTTACAGGTCTACTTCCTATGGCTACCAATCCCATGTATGATAAGGTCACCTACAAAAGAAAATTCCACAGACTCCTCTGAGGAGCTCACTCAGTTTCACAGGTTGTTGTGTTTATTCTTTGAATACCAGCATCCAAAATTCTTGAGCTGTAAAATTCCTGTTCCTTTCCACCAGCTGCCTTAGTGCCCAGGCTTCTTTCTTGGATTGCTCAAAGCTTGGTATCCACATCTCTTGGAGAGAAGTCCAGCCAGGGTTTGAAGATGAGAACCCAAACGCCTCTGGTTTGGGGCAGCTCAGATGGTTAACCTGAGCCTTCCACGTCTGGGGCAGCCATCCCTGGGAACAGAGAGAAATAAAAGGGTTATTCAGGGACCCTCGCAGACAGAGAAGAAAGGTGCTATGACATCAGTAAACTATCAAAGCATGTCAGTGACATCTTCCTTCCCACTACAGGCTCTGGCCATGTCCCTGTGGATGTCAGAGGGGAAGCCCTCTCCAAAGTGTCCAGGACAAAATCAGTCATGCTGACAAGAGCCAGAGTGTCAGATCAGGTCTGGCTGCAAATGAGCAGCACCAGCCCACCCAAACTGAAATTCTAAGCAAGGAGTTCTATTTTCATCATTATATTCTGTTTTCATCTTAAATATGCACACACTTAATGAGATTTTTTTAAGGACCAAAACCAAGCCATGAATCTGACCAGGAAAGCAAACTTGTCTTCACAGTCTTCTTGACTAGAGAACCACAAAAGCATGGGGAAGGAATATCTGTATCTAACCTATTCTACACCTTTCCAAGGTTGTATTCCTTGGAGAGAGAACATCTGTCCAGATTTGCACCAGATTCAAACAGGAAAGCCTGGTTAAATGTAATGTTTACTGGTTTGCATTCCCCATTGCTTCAGCTAACCTTAGTAACTTCAAATGCTTTCTTCATCTGCCTTCGACTGGCTGACCACATAATGTACTGCTCACTTCCAAACAGATCGAATCATATCTAATTGCCTAGGGAAGCACTGAGTTGAGTCTTAAAACACCTCCAAGGACAGAGATCCCACAACCTCTCTGGGCAATCTGTTTCCAAATGTTCCAGGTCATCTAAAGCAAGCCAGCAAGTTAGGCTACTTTCTGTAGCCTGATAGAAACCTCCTACCTGAACAAGTCAAGCCTTCTGCTGAAATGACCACCAGCTCAACAGTCAATGTGTATGAGCTCAAGCACTGCAGCAGTATGAGGAACACATGCTCTGGCCAAGCACCCACACCTTCTGCCAACACCTTTTGACATGAGGATGCACAACCCAATAGCATTGCAATACCAGTGGTTGTAGGCTGGCCAGAAATCTGGTAACCAAGCTTCCTGGGACAAATCTGAGCCTAGTGCCATTTTAAAGCCTCTCTGAGACACAAGGACAAAGTCACAAGTACCTTTTCTTTCCTTCTGATGTTTTCCCACACTCGGTTACACACCATGCACTCAAAGGTGTCAATGTAATTGTCCTGGGTGATATCTTGCACTCCCCACTTGCGTTCCTTCAACGCTGTAAGCAGCCTTGGGTTGGAAATGTTCCCTTTCAGTTTCCATTGTAGGTAGGACTCATATTCTCGATCATTTGTATCCAGTGTTTTGATATAGTGGGCCAGTTCCCGAGGGTGTGAAAAACTGGATACCAGGATTGCACTCTTGTTACTAGGAAGCCAGTCTACAATGCTGGGAGACCCAAAGTACACTGGTACCACTCCCAATTTCAGCGGCCGCCAGAGTTTTTCGGTGATGTAATCTTCACAGATAGCATTTTCAAAAGCAAGGATGAACTTGTACTGTGCCAGTATTTTATAGAAGTTCCCATCATCCATGGCAGTTGGATTTCTGAGATGCTGAGGAAGGTCTCTGTTATGCAGGCATTCCCCATAAGAGTCTACTTCAATGTGGCACATCAGCTCACGCACATAGCTGTCCCGGTCAGAAGGAGGGTTGCAGTCAGACTGCACATATACAAGTGGTGCAAGCCTCTTCCTCAGGCTGTTCTTCATTTGCAATGGGATCATGTACCTCAATGACTTCAGGACCTCTATACCCTCAAGGTACTGAGTGGTCAGTGGTAAGTGAGAATGGCGGCTAAAGGTTGCAGTGTGGTTGAATAAGGTGACGGTTGGTTCGTGGAAGAGTTTGTAGTTGTTTTTTGGTGACTCTTCATGGAAAAGGGCCCAATCATGATTGTCTTTACGAGGGAGGGGTAGGCTGTCTATACTGAAGTCAGTACCTAGACAAAAGCGAACAGTGCTTAGTCTGCCCCTATCTGTCATGCCACACTAACTACAATGACACAGAAGTCTAGCTTTAATTTAATATCAGCTCTACAACCATCACATTTATGACATTATAAGGCAGTATTGCAAAGAGAGCAATTCATGCAAAGACAGAGGAGTGTTATGACAGACAAAACTTAATTTGGCAGCAGAAGAATCTAGAGAATGGGGATCAGTAGTTAATATTAGAAATGGTTTCCTTTCAGTTCATATTAGTTTAAAGGCCTTTCATTTCAAAGGCTCAATAGGAATTTTATATTTTAATGCACTGAAATGAGACTAATAAGATGCTTAATAATCCCCTGGTTCTGTAAATAGGGGAACAGATGGTATTGCCTCTATCTATGATGTGAGGGAAATGGTTACTGCAGGGCTCCATTTGGCTCTAGTAGCAAACAACAAAAAGGATGCTAAAATATTGGACAGTGTTAAGGAGAAAAATTACAAGAATGACTTCAAGTCTTCGAAAGACATTGTACTATAGAGACTTTGGAAGCCAATCTCTTTAGTTTATCAAAGAGAGAATGAAGAGGTGATGTATCACAGCTGCCTACCAGGTATATAAAGAAGCAGCTTCTGGCAGAAGACAGCTCCTCAAACTAATGCCAATAGTAGAAGAAGAACCATGTCTAAACTCTAGAAACAGACCACTGCAGCTGCTTGCACCTCCCTGTGAGGACAGGGAGCCTCGAGAACAACTTAGGAAAGCTGTGGTGGAAGCTTTAGGACAAACCTAGAAGCCTTTTCTCACATGCTGGTCTGTGCAAAACTGAATTCAAAATACCAGCTTGTGAGTCTGACCCTTGCTCCTCCTTCAGTACCACTGTACTACACTCACGACCAGCCTTATTGCAGATTAAATGCAAAGCTGATGAATCTGTCATGACACTTCCTCACTGTCTTATAATTGTATCTATTTTTTACTTAAGTAGAGCACTGAATATACAAAACTTTTAACTGGTATTGTCAAGCAAGGGAGGTTCAGAAACTGAAACAAACAGTGAACAGATGGTTTAGAAAACACCACAAATCCCCTCTCTTTGGACAAGCTATTCTACCATCCCAGTCACACCCATAACTTTTCACTCCCTGTTCTACCCTTGACCTCAAACCACTGATTGGAAAAAAGAGGGAGCTAGCAAAAGTCTGTGGTCTTTGTGGCTGCACAAACCTGCAAAGATGACTCCAAGGATGCCCTTATAAAACCAACGTAAGACTTCACTACTGCAGTGAAGAACTGCCAGTAACATAACAACCTCCTACTGAGCAAGACCCTTTAAGAGCATCAGGTAGGTTTTTTTTAAGGTCATTGAGTATTCGACCTTCTGTTTTCCACTGAAGGGTGGTCCCAAGCCCTCAGCACTAGAAGGATGAACAACTGTGCCACTCACTGAAAAAAACTATTTGCTGCCCCTGGTTCTGATGTGTTATAGTGATACAAGATAGTGAGGAAAATTGAAAGTGAATCAAATTCTCAACGGGAAGCTTATAAGGCCTATCTGGTTTTGAAAACACTTTGTTCTAAGTGATGCCCAGAAGAGAAGCAGCAGTGCATAAAGACAATAATGAAATGCTGTGGATATAAACCATAGCACTGTCTCTCACAATGCTGCTCTCTCCTTAAGGTAGTAATGCAGGGAAGAGGGAAGGAAAATGCAGGAAAGAATGAGACAACGGAAGGGATGAGAGAGAAAACTTACTAAACAAGGAGAGAATTAGGCAAAGAGAAACTTAAAGAAAAATGCACTATAGATCAGAGCACATCAGAATGAATGATCCTAATATAACACTTAATCAATCTCAGTCCAGCCAGAAGACAAAAAGCTTTTAAGGATTAAAGGGAAGATAATATCAGCATGTTCCCTACTCCATGAGACAAAGGAAATAAAGGAGCTTATGAGGGGATGAAGAATACACAAGAAGACTACAATTACGAGCAATTTCAACTTCCAAACTAGGAAATCTTAGATATGTGGCAAAGTGCAGAAGAGAAAGACAAATGCTGTCAGGAGTTCTGTATCTTAGGAGACATCTTTCATTCAAGATTCGTACTCCAAGGACTCAACACTCCAGTGCAGCAAAGCTGGACATCCTCCTCCCTTAGCAACAACACCCCCGAGGCTCTGACAGCATGGCACCAGATCCAGCTCCTGATGGCTCAGCTGCATTGGTAGCCCATGCTACACCTAAAACTCCTGTGAAGTATGTGACACTGAAAAGGTGGAGTTGGGAATCCCTCCCAAAAGCAGAGACAAAATCCAGCAAGTGGATGCCACGTCTCACTTCTAAACAGGAGATGCTGGCACTTGACAAAGTCATCACCTACACCTAGGGGCTTCCTAGGCCAGGACAGTAAGTTAGGACAAGATGCAGAAAAGCAGGTGTTCCTAGCAAATCAGTTCTGCTGGAAAACATCTGTACCTCATTTTTTTGCATAATATTTTTCCTAAGCTTTGGATCATTCTTCTCTTGACTAGCTCACTGACCAAGGGGAAAATTAATGCAGTTTCTTTGGAAGGTGAAACTGTGCCCTGATCCAACCTTAGCAGGGAAATGCAGATGTTCAACTTTTCACTTAGCAGGCTGTTTAGAGGAAAATTCTGGAACACCAAAATCTGCCTTTTTGTGGGCCCACAGCTCAGTGCATCAAGGTCAGAGTTGCGTGTGTGTGTGTGAAGCTTTTCCGTATTGATGCAGCATTTTTTTTCACCTTCAATACCATCTATGACCTTTGTCTCTGCAGGTTTTAACACTGTCAGATCTTTTATTGTGGTTTAAAAATAAGTAATATTTTTTGCATATTTTAGCACTTGTATTTATACAGTTCATAGCCAGCATCACTAGAAAAAGAAAAAAACTACAGGGAGAGTCTTTTGCCCAGTATAAATAGTCCTTTAAAAATAAGTAAGTAAACCATGTCCACAAGCCTGCCAAAAATTAACAGTAATAGTCTTCCTAATGCTGAAACAGACAAACAGACAAATTACAGAATTACTACCAGAGATCAAAGACACCAGACTTTACAGCTTTCATGTGATGCAAACCCAGCTTTACTTGTCTTTAATTGGGTCAGCTTCTCATTCCTTTGCTGTTAGTCCTTTGCTTTCATGCTTGACCACTATATTATCAACTGACAAAGCTGACCTACTTGGAGCTCTGAAAAGATCAGTGATGAGAACTTTTTGGTTCAGTGTTAACAACCAAACTAAAAGGCCCTTCTTTCCTATATTTCCAGTTCACCTGTATCCTGACTGAGTGAATGAGATTCAGGACTCTGTTTTATTTTGTTTTGTTTCCAGACAAAGGGAGCTGAACCTACCAGTTACAGAAAAGCATTTGGCTTTATTTTTCCACCTAAAATCCACTTTTTCTCTGAAAAGCAACTGTGTGGGGAGAAAGAACAAAATTAACAAAATAAGGCCTACTTTTAAGCGATGCATCTTTTCTGTTTTGTAGAGTCACTTTACAGTACATGTAGTGGGAAGTTTCTGAGGCGGCAGAGCCAGAGCAGCTCAGAAGGTTGCACTAGCTGCTGCTCCCTGTGCAGAATCAATAGGTTTCTTTCACTACTTTCCATTTACAGTCTGCTAGCAATCTCTCAGTACATGAGGCAGGGGAGTTGCGCAGTTACCAACGAGGGCATTATTTTAAGACAAAAGACTTGCACAAGTGCAACAAAGGCCTTGCAGAACCTCCGCTAGGGGTGACAAGCCAGAAGACTGGAAAAAGCTGGCTTGATCTCAGACTGTCTTTTCATGACTTGGCAGTTACAGGAAATGATCTTTTCTCCCATAAAACAGGGAGCACATGTGATTGAAAAGCAGCATGAAACAAGGCAACAGTCATCCCGGACATGTATGATCACTTTTCAGAGTACTTTTACAGAGAACATGCATCTCTGGATCTCTGCTGATGGTATTCAGCACCAGGCAAAGTGTAGTACAATGAGCTGCGTAAATTTCCTGCTCAGTGATCCATGCCTAGAATATATAATCTCTAAGGGAAAGTAACTAGGCAAAAGGGGAAATTAATCCTTTAAAAAGAAATAGATCCTTACCATAGAACAGAAATGCTCTCGTCATCTGATTGTGCTGGTAGGTCTTGTTGATAGTAAAGAAGCAAACATCCTCTCCGCACTGACCCAATCTCCCTGTCTCTCCAGTCAGGGGAGACCACCAGAGCAGGATGGGGTAGTGATTTACATCAGCCTCTGTCTTCAAGCTGCTCTGAAGTTCCTGCTTCTTAAACTGAAAAGCATGTCTCTCCACAGGATTTAATGGGCCACTATGTAAACTGGAGATTACTGTCCCCTTATTCTCTGATTTGCCCAGTTCAGTGATAACCTTCAGGGAAATAAACATACACATCACAGCGCATCACTTGTCATTAGCCAGACATCTGCATGACAAATCAGAGTTTAAGCATCAAGCACTAACTAAGTCTGCATGTGAAGCTTCTGTCAACCAAAGTGGATGCATTTCACTGACTACAGCCACCGTCCAGGCAAAAAAGCAAAAGCAAAAGCAAAACCTTTAATTTGAATTTGTAAGGAGGAGGCAGGAAATACATTTCTGTACTGAGGTATGGACACATCACGTATGATTTAACACCACCACTTCTGCTTTCTCCCTGGAAAAAGCACAAAACAGAGAACAGTCCTTCAGCAGTCAGGTTTCTTCTGGAAATTAGCTGTAAAAAAAAACCATGAAGTTTTCATGTCTCTGTGTGGCCACCTGTCCTCACCCCTATTAATTTTCAAACCACTGACTGAATAAACCAGGTGCAGACAGGTCTTAAAGACAATATAACTACAACTTCATGGCTAGGTAGAGGAAAAAAATCCCATTTGTATGCAGAGAAGTGAACACCTATCAGTATGAACTGCCATTTACAGATCTGAAATGCTATGGGGAACTCTCCACCCACAGGAGAAGCCTCTAACACTGCTCACCATCAGCCATGAGACAGAAGTCCCCAGCAAATCTGGGGGATTTCTGGTGCCCATGAAGCCACCACTCTTTTCTACAGGTAGTACCTGCCGTAAGTGTCCTGGGACAGAGCGAAGTGACCGAAACGGCACCAGCAGGTACTGCCACAAGACACATAGCTCCTCTTCTTAGCTTTAGTGGGGCAAAGACTTTCCTGCTACCGTGCAAATGGCTTTTTGTGCATGCACCTTCACAGGCAGTGCATAATGCCACCCCAGGAACAGCTGCAAGAATGATGGGGGAACTCAAACCCACCAGACAGCTTTGGCCACAGCGCTTACGCTTGTCAGATGGCTCTGAAGGAGGATATCGGAAAGCAGGAGAGTGTTATTTATATTAAGTTGTTTGAAAACATTTATCTTCCCTCATAGCTTTATTGCATGCATTCATTTTGCTGTTTGTTGTATCATTCACTCTCCCCATGTAGCAAAATTGACTGATTGTATTGAGACTAAATAGGCTCTGTGCAACACGGGATACTGGGACAGCACACACAGGAGGCTGTGCAAAATGCAGCCGTACAGAAAAATACAGAAAACACTCCTGCATTGGTGAGTGGACAAGATACTAGCTGGTGAAAAGATTTATATGTCTAATAGTATGACAAGATGTAACCGCAGCAATATAACGGAAGTAAGTCTAGAAGTGCCTCATTTCCAGGTTTCTCCAGGAACATGCTTTGTTCTTTGCTTCCAAATTTTGCCCTGGCAGAATTTACGGACTTTCTATATTTGCACAGAATTTCTAGTAGCTCTCCCTGAAGTCCTGGGGGTTGATACACCCCATCTGTATCAACAGCTCATGTGTTACAGCAGTCCCAGCACCAGGGCACCAAGTGTCACCACCCAGTGAACACTCCCAGATAAAAATCCCAGCTAGGCACAGGGAAGCTCTAACTAGGTCCAAACCTGCTTAGCTGTGGAGGTGCAGTGGAGTCACAAACCCTCACAATAAAGCTCCTAAAGGCTTGCTAGCATTGCTCCTATGCTAGGGCAGCCATATCACCTCTGGATGCGTTGTTTAGGGGAACAGAACTGAAAGCGACCATTGAGTGTCAGTGGCTGCCCCCAAGAAACGGTTCCAATTTGGAGTGGGCAGCTAGCCTGGGAGAGCTTCAGAGGTCCTCTTGCTGGCTCCACCAGGAGTTACCTGAGGTACCAGTCTGAATCAGAGCCTCAGGTCAGAGCACAGCCCAAGAGGAAAGACATACCTGGGGCAGATCCTGGCCCCCTCACAACCGAAGTCTCCTACAGTCCAGTGACTGCCAGCCAAGGCTGATTCAATTTGTCTAAAAGTTTTTCTCTGCTAACGAAAATCTAGGGTAACCTGCACCAGCCACAAATTAATATGCCTCCACATTGATTTTTCTCTCATGCATTTTTATATGGACCAGCTACTGGACTTCCCAACGCTAAGAATGGCCTTTGAGTCAGGACTGGTGGACAGATTTCCATCACACTTGCTGATATGCTCAGATTTCCCTGGTCTGTCTGCCACATTAGTATGAAATGGGTCCAGCCTTGCCTCCCTTCCTAATGAGTTCATATGCATGAACAAAGGAGGCAATGCGGGATGGAGGCAATGCAACATGGCATGGTATGGTACACCACTCCTGAGAAACTCCTCCAGGAGCCAAGGAGCTATGCAAGAAAGGTGTTCTCTGTGTAATGGTACTTCTGGAGTCAGCTATTGCCACCAGGTCAATACTGCTGACAGTGTTTCTTTAAACACTCTTCTTAAAGCACAGACGTGCAGTGAAAATGTCTGTTGCCTTCAATGCTCTCTCTCATCTGCCAGAATTGTGTCATACCTTGAGAGTGATCTCATGCATACCCCTCGCCCCCCTTGCCCTGGTACCTGGAGTGTCACCACAAGGAAAAAGACAGCTGCAAAGCAGAAGAAAGATGCCCACAGTTTCTTCCTCGTCATCCTAATCATGCTGCACTGCCAGGCCTGCCAGAGCAGTTAGAGCTGGGCATCAGGAAGGCCAGCTTGTCTAAAATCTTCAGCTTTTGCTGCAGGGCTTTCCCACTCCATCCTTACTCCTCTTCATGGTGACCTGCTGAAAAAGGGTACAGCATCAATAAAGACCACTCCTCAAGCTCAGCGGTTAGCTTGATGTCTACCTGTAGCTTTCTGTAGGTGCCGGAGCCACATTTTAAGCCAGGTATCCAGAAAACAGCCTGCACAAAACAGCACTCATGCACAGCCCCAGGCATCTGCTCTCCCTCTGACCATCCTGGACTTGGGCATCCTCTCTAAGCAGGATCACACATCCTCTCATCCTTGCCGTAAGAGTAGAGAGATGCTGATGGGCCTCGCTGAGCCCTGTGTAGGAAGGACAGCCGTTTTTCTGAGTTTCGGATGGCAAACTGTGCTGCTTTTCAGCAGACTCACAAACAGGTAAGCGATGAAAGACTTTTCTTCCCTGGGCAAGCCCTGAAAATGCTGCAGGAGGAGGCACACAACTATCTGGCCTTAGGGCCTACCACACTGCAGTCTTCTGGGACTTCTGTTCACCAGCGTATCTAGCCCAATGCATAGAGAAAGTAACCATACAGCACACACACAAACTCTCTCCACATCTAAAAACATTTAATTTTAACAAGTTCCCCTTTCCTTGTAATCTACATCTGTGCTGGTCTGCCTCTCCTCAAATAACTCTTCCCTTTCCCCAACGCTTTTTTTAGCTTTCACAGTACTGTTTTGCTGCATGCTGGATGTTACAGTGTGAAAATCCCAACTCCTGACAACACAAGTAGGTGCAGATTCCAGTTTCATCTTGTTAAAAAAAAAAAAAAGAGGATGGGAGAAAGACTCAATGTAGAGAAATAAAGCTTGAAAATGTGGGTATTCTGAAAGCTCAGAAAGCAGAAATGCACACCAAAAAATGTTTAATAAATTGCTATTTTAAAACTAATCTCTTTCAGAGATGTGCCTCCTGTAATTTAGGCTGGTTTTCTATGAAAAGAATGTGTATGTGATCATATTGTACCCATGTGCATGTGCTGCCAGCTCTCCCCCCATTCTATTCCCACTCACAAAGCTCCAAAAACCTGACAAAGAAGGATGGATCCCAAAACTACTGCCTGCCTCTGTGGCGCTGGCAGCTAGAGACAAAAAAAGGATCCTGTTTCTGCTTCCACTGCAACATGAGTTCATCCCTTCCCATCGACCATCAGAAAAGCCTCTTTAGTAAAACCTCACATGAAACTGTGCTGAGTTCTGCTCTGCATGGGACATCTGCTTTTGAAGGTTTTGTGTGGGCACAAAAGTGCACGGCTGCCAGTTGAGTGCTTCTCAAATTAGGCAGGATCTCTTTATAAAGCCTCTGCATCTTCTGTGCCCTCCTGCCTTATAGCCAAAATGGGGCACCAGGAGGGGAAGAGACTGAATTCTGCCCACAACTATGTTGGTGAAAATCTACTCAAGGCATACCCTGAAGCAAAGCAGTATCTTTAATACCACACGTCTTACCCCGGGGCATGGCAAAAAGACTCTGATGACCCACCGAACGCCACCCTACCCTCTGCCCCAGTAAAAGAGTAGTAGCCGTACCATTTTTAAGTATTCTAGAGGGGCAAGCGCCCGCACCACGAGTATGCTGTACCAGTCGCCCCAGGGTATCGCGCCAGGTCACGGCTTCATTCTCGCTTTTGCAGCACCCAAGGCTCCGTACTTTGACCCTGCGGCGGGGTGCAGCGCGGTCCGTACTTGGGGTGGGCCACACAAGGCTCCGTCCTCTCCCGGCTCCGCTGGCAAAATGACCTCGCAGCGCTTTCCCACCTCGGTCAGGCCGAGCAGAGGCCCTGAGGACTTGAGGGAAGAAAAATCAATGCCACCCCCGGCTGTCCCGCCAGAGCAGCAG